TTATATATTTGAATGTTTTCTTTTTATTTCCCCTTTGACGTCTTTATATACCTAAGAATTTAATTATTTCACTCTAATTTTGTATATTACTTCTTAAGTACTACTCCTCGCCTACATCACAATCATTCCTCAAAGGAGATGAACAAACATATTATGTTAAAAATATAACTATATATGTAGCTCTGTTTTGTTTGCAAAATATATATTATAGTAATAATTATTATTATTGGTAATATTAATATTTTCGTATACATTAAAAATGTATAATAAAAAAACTAAATAAATTATTCATATACGTTTTAAAGCAGTGATAAAATTTTTATTTTTATTTTTTGTGTTTCAGGTCGTACTGCGTTAAACTTGGAAAGAAGTATGATTTATATAGTTAAATATCAAAATAAATATAATGTGTCTAAAATAATTGATTAAATAAATACAATATATTTAATTTAATATATTATAACAGTTAAAAACGATGTGTYCATTATATTATAATATAGAAGCAGCGTTTATACCTAAGCCGGCAAGTTGTTCTATTGGTAGTCAAACGATCAGCCTAAAAGACACAGATGATCGAAGTTTGTATTATTTTCCATCGTGCACGCGGGTAGACCGATGTGGAGGCTGTTGCAGCCACGACTTATTGGCCTGTCAACCGACTAAAATCGAGACACTCCACTTCGAAGTATGTATAAAGTCTAGAGCTCTCGGATTTGAACGTGAATAAGACTCACGTGATCACGTGTATACTTGAATTATTTAAAAATCCGCGAACTYAATTCATGTGTATAATTATTTAGTAAATTATGTATATTTATTTTGCGTGTGCTTAAAAAAAACATTTATTAAAAAAGATATGTTAATAACTTCTGTAATAAAAAACTGCAAATATCTATACATACTCTTCTAAAAATATAAATGTTCTATGAACAGCTAGTATTATCGTAAAACGGCCAGACGGGTGGTTTTGTAACAAAATTTATGAAATGGTTTTTTCGTTATTAAATTGAATATTTTTTCAACTACTTTTAAATGCGCGTAAAATGTAAATAAATTTCATAGTTAACATTCGTCGAAACAATCGCATTCTGAAATATTAGTTTTCCATGGATATTCTGTTCATAATAAATAATTGATCACTGATCATCTTTATGTAGAAACTATTGGAAGCTGTACTGAAAATACAACATCAAATGTAATAATAATCGCGTGATATAATAACGAAATTCTCGGACTCGCGTGAAGTTAAATTTACAGATTCTGCTCGTGTAGTTCAATTAACGTGAATTTGCGAATTGAATTTTAAACGTGAAATAGAGAACTCTTGCAGATGGATCCAAAATAAAATACCTGTTATGAAACTTGGTCGTTAGATACTCAATTTACTGACGTGCATTTTTTTTTAGGTATTGGTATCGCAGTACAACGGAGAAGGAAAATTAGAATTCAAAGGTAGAAAAACGGTGTCAGTAGACCGACATTTGAAGTGCAAGTGCGGATGCGTCGTTAAAGAAGAAGTGCGATTGATAACAAGTTTTAATTTTATTTTCATAATATTATATAAGTGTGTCTAATAACGATAATATGTTGATTATAATTATTATTATTTCTGCAGAACTGTGGCCCATTGCAGACGTACAATGTCAAAGAATGCCGTTGTAAGTGCAGCAACGAAGATGACGAAGAGAAGTGTAGCAACGAATACGATTTAAAGCAATGGAACTCGGCGACATGCAAGTGCGAATGTCGTGAAATCAAGGAATGCACTTCGGGATATGGATTTGACAATTATACT